CTTACGAGGCGATGTGTAAACGGGCTTAATATTCTTGGAAGTTTTATAATTGTGATTTGTGTTTAAATTTACGAAAAAAAAATAGTGTAATGTTAGCCAGGTTTTGAGTGTTTACCTTGTTTGGCTATGTATGTGTAGAATAGCACCGTTTGTTATTTTTTTGGGTAGCATCATAGAAAGCTTGTGGAGTTTTCCGAATTCATTTGCTGTTTGTTTCGTTGAAAGTTAAGACTGAAATAACACGTTATATTGAAAACACTACAAGTATAACAACATTGAATGGTGCGTTTGTTAAATCATAGGCGTAATCAGTCGGAAGTAGTATCCAGGGAATCTTAGGTCGAAATTTAAGCCCTAGCGCCATCTGAACTTAGCTCTACACGGTCGACCACCCTACACTCACTTGCTTCGAAGCAATTGATACTCAATAGATTTACTACACGTATAGATTTATGGATATGAAAGCCACAGATTATAATCTTTACCAAACATTATAAATTAATAATTATATTGCATTCAATTTTTCTAAGATTACAATTCACCATCTATCCTAAAAAAAAAAAAAAAAAAAAAAAANAAAAAAAAAAAAAAAAAAAAAAAAAAAAAAAAAAAAAAACATACCGGAAGTCTTGAGGTCCTCTTATGACGTCATAGCATTGACATGACTATTTCTTTTCTTTTCTTTCCGGGTTTGTTTATATATACTCGAAATAATCAGCTGTTCTGAATTTTAATTTAGTGTCTTGTTTTAGTGAAAAAGTGTGTTCTTCGTATTTTAAAATATCTAATGTTGTTGTTGACGTATGCCTGTTTAGGCAGAGGGATTGCGATTGTTCTTGTTTTCCAGTGGCGCCATCTATGGCCAAGAATTCGACTTCTGCCACACCGTACGTCACACAGATCGTAATTTTGGCCTGAATCAGAGAACTATCGATCTCCTATCCAGTACCCCCAGAGGTATTGATTTGTTATGGGAACATGGAGGACTTTTGCGACTCGACAGATTTAATGTGCACCAGTCACTTTACTTCACAAGGAGTCTTCGGCCGGTGGGGTTCGAACCCACGAACTCTCGGTCATGGGCCCAGCACCCTACCGATTCCCGGCCAAAATATCTAATGAAGATATAAAAAAGAAGTACTTCGGGAAATTATCCTATATTGATACACAATTACCTGATCGTTGAGATGCGGATTTACGCAATTTAGTTAACACCGGAAGAAATTCTTCTACCTGAATCTTCTACCGGAAGTTGAAACCCCTACAAATACTGCCCCCTATCGTAGAGAAAATGAAACACAATGGGGAATTAGGTGAATAGAACTCAAATTCTTATAAAAGCATGCTTGAGTTTTGACTCATGCGAACCATAACAACCTCAAATTTAACTGCTATTAGCAATGTGTTTTTGAATTACTACATTTTTTAATCGTAATTGGGTACTACCACTTGAAGAAGAAGTCCACGATACCTACACGTGACATATGCCGTCAACGCCAGCTGATCGCTTACAAGCAAGATGATGTGTAGATGCCTGAGCTAAGTTTCTCCACATGAGTTAGAATTAGAATGCTAATTAACTTGAAGTTAATTAAATACAGTGCTGTAGATTTATTATTTGTTTATGCATTTTATTGTAACCTTGATATATTTTTGTTTTGTGTACCTGGCAACTTCAATGCATAATTAGTTTGTTTATGTTTCACACGGCTTCATGCCTGTCTTTGTGTTATGTAAGAAATATGTAACGAAAGAATTGAAATCTTTGTGATAGAATCTTTGTGTAAGAATATAGAATTATTCATTCAAGAGAATTGACACTTTACGAGCTTGGCTTACTCGAAATAGAGTGGAAAGGACAGTTGCTAACGTAAACAAATGTCATTTTTCAAGAACCAATCCGGATCGAGATACCCAGATTAGATCACTTGAAGGTATCCCATTGTTGAAATGGAAGCACATTTTATTTCCGATGTCGGAAGAAAAATATTTTCGATTTTCTTCGTCTTCAATCTTCGTATCGAAATTGATAGCAAAAAAACTGTCGCCCAATAATTAAACACAAAAAAAAAGGAAAAAAAAAAAAAACATTGATTATCCCGTCATTTAAGAATCTAATAAAATTTTTACACGGTTAAAGAAAAAAGTAATTGAAGTATGTTAAAAAAAATTAAATTAAGACAAAGAATATGCTAGTAAGTAATTTTAAAATCGATTGAACAATTCAAATTTAATGCAAAATTAAAAATCAGTGACTGATTGATCAATCTTCAATAAATGTGACCTAGGGTATACAGCTTATCAATTGAGCCGCTCAGAAGCCAATGCGGTTAAGTCCATTTTTTGATATTTTCTGATTTTTGGAAATTTTGATGAAATAAATAATAATCTTCTTAGTTATTAAAGGATTTACTCGTTGGTTACTTTTTTCTAGGTTAGACAGCCCTTTTTTTAATAGCTTCTGAATATATTGTATAATAATTTCAGAAGCCATTGTGAATAAGTCCACCTTTTATCAATATTTTTTTACATAAACTTTGAAATAAAAATTAAATTCTTCTTCTTCTTTCGATATTTGTTGGTAACAGTGAAAAACAAGAAATTCAT